TTACTGTTAAAGGAAAACAGTTAATCTCCGTCAGATTTTGAACTTAACTTTCAATAAAAAACCTGGAATAACTAAATGTATATTCTGAGACAAGTATATATTATGGGCTGAGGATATACAATGGGCTGAGGATATACTATGAGCCTTATTATAGGCTGAGGGTATATTATAGGCTGAGGGTATATCATGGGCTGGGGATATATTGTAGGTTGAGGATATACTATGACTTGGGGATATAATCTGGGCCCAGGATATACTTTGCGCTGTTACACTGAGATTAATTAACAATTGAGTGTAATACTATATTAACTCTTGTAATTTTCTACCTAGGTAAACAACTTTGTTGGGGAAATGTTAGTTCCAATTATTTAGGAATGTTTATTAATGTTTTGTGCATAATTTTGTATAACAAGAAGCGTGGAAATGTTGGTTAACCCTGTCTATAGCTAATTCGACTCACCACCCATTGAATTTCTTAATCGCTATAAGAACCCATCCTTGTCCATCGAATGTAACATATACCACAATACCACATATTTGCAGGGGACCTATAAGCACTCATGGTGTTTAAAAATTGCTTAATATCTACCAATTTATTTTGTTTCCTTTTTTAAATTTTATTATGAAAATATATGAAAATTAACACATGAGATGAAAGAGGTGGAGGAGAATCCAAGAATCAAAGTAAAAAAGAAAACAGACCAATCAAACGAAAATAAAGACAACTTAGAGGTTTAAAACCGGCTGCTGTATTCCTGCCGATAAGTAGAATCAAAACATCAATCGCTAATGGCGGGAGAAGGACAAATCATTTGGGAATGAGTAAATATATCAGGTTGATTCACTCAAGATAAAAGCGAAAATAAAATCTGGGAAATTGGGAATCTTGATGAGGAACATAACAAAAGAGAACGTCGGGACCTGGCCGTGAACGGCAGTCACACTAACTAGAGGAGCAAAAATAGACTAGCTTTACCAGGTATTGGGTCTGACAGGAATCCGCCCCAATGTGACATTAGGAGACCAACAAAGGAAATCCAGATTGGCCTGATACACGTGAACTAGGCTCGCAACTCGAACCCACCTTTTCCCAAAGGCAAAAGGCTTTTCATTAGTTCTGATATTCATCCTCATCTGATTTCTAAAGAATCCAATCAGATCTTTGATACAAATCTTTGTCTCGTACAATTCACTCCACTCGCGTCATAAGCATCACCATTCTTACAATGGCTAGCAGCATCAGAAACACCAACTCTTTCACTCCCGAACCACAAGGATGATGCATACGTACCCCGAGATCGATGGACACATGATGTTCTGAATCGATACGAGCCGTCAACTCGCCGATATGCTTCCAAAACTAGTGGACCAGCGGACAATGGAAGAAGTCTTATTCAGCTGTTTACTGTAAGCCGCAACCAGACTGGTATCAATCAGGCATTTCTGCCAAGCCCTTCCTGAGATAGCCAGTTAAACGAAAACTGAGAGTTACCGAGATAATGCGCTGCTGGTGAACCGAAAGAACACAACTGGCCGGACCGAGACGATCACAGAGCGGATGTGACTCGCCTAGTGTGGTAGTAGTGGCCCAAAATGGAAAAGAGCAAACGCAGTTAGCTTTACCGCCCCGTATAAAAGAGAGGTGGATCTAAATCGAGGCCCTCCCTGAACAGTGTTTAAACAACTTTTTGAGCTCAGATCAGGCTACCTGCGCCATCCTGAGCTCGGGAAATGCGTCTTCGGCAGGAGATATAACGTCTCAAACCTTCAATCGCCGTTATTTCGTATTAAAGTGATTATCTGAAGAGCTTTTTTGCCTTGTTGTTTTGTCTTGCATATATTTTTTGCTAAGTATTGTTTTTACCCTGTTATTTCTTTTGTCAATTCTATTTGGCACTTTTTCCAATTACATTTATCCAGGGTCAATTATTCTACAGTAAATAAATAAATAGTAAATAAAATTTCAGAGTTTAAGTGGAGACGTTAGAAGTATAAAGTTAAAGTAAACTTTGTGGCCATTTGCCCGACAGATCTTACCCATCCATTGTATTCATCAGATAATACATCTTCGGATTACCTTTTATTTTGATCTTTAGAGAATTTTGTTAATGAAAAAAATCAATTGTCTGGATAACTGTAAAAGAAACCCAGAACATTTATTTGTCGAGAAAGCTGAAAAGTTTGAAGTTACCATTGCTAAAGATTGTTGAAAGATTATATTGAATCAACTGCTTTGTCTGTTGCTAAGGCACTTGGTTCACTGTCTCGTGTTAGACATTTTTTATCGCTAGAATCTATCGTATAGATTTATACGAGATTTATTTAAGACCTTTTGAGACTTTTTTTAAGAAGAGGCAGTTATAACTGCCTTAGATTATCATAACTTATATATCATATATAATATATCACCATATATATTACTATATCATAGTAATATATCATTACTATACATCTAATAAGCTCATATCAAATGACGCTACTTTGGAAGAGTTTTGTACTTCTTTGAAATTAATAAATGTCTCTACGAAGAAAAGTCTCAAAACTTCTCGAATGGCACTTCGTAAGTCTATATTTCGTCCACGCGTTGAATATTCTTGCCAAATCTGGTCTAATGATTTTGTTATGTATTTAGATTCTTGGCAATGTTATCGGTTCTGACCTGACATCTCGGCTTCAGTCACTTTCTTATCGCTGCAACGTAGCTATCCCTGTACCTTTTGTAATTGTTCTGGTGATCTTTCCTCTTTTGTTTCGTAGATTTTATGAATGTAAGCGCAGTACCAGACTGGCAGTTAGGTCTCATCATTTTACAGTTGAAATGGCTAAATGTAACCGTAAATTCTATGCTAATGCACTTTTCGCTTGTGGAAGTCCCTTCCAGCTTATTGCTTTCCTGTCAAGTTTGATCTTTAAAAAATTAAATGCAATCTTGGTATCGTCTGTCTTCTTCATTCTAGTTCTTAAGAATGTTTCCTTTTCCTCATATTCTTTCACACTCAGTAACCCCTTGCATCTTAGTGGCTTCATTGCCTTGCTTGGGGTAAAATGATTAAAAAATAATTAGTCATCTAATTTCATCGTTCCAGGAATTATCTGACTTCTTCCGTCCTGATTTAACTTTAAACATATCAGATAAAACCAAAATGGAGTATCATATGCATAATCCTTACTTTTAAATTCGTTTACGCAGTCTTGTAAGGTGCTAGACATATTCTTCCCTCAGCAACCTCTTTCCTGAAGGCGCAAAGTCTATCTATCTATCTATCTATCTATCTATCTATCTATCTATCTATCTATCTATTCCACCAGTTCAGACCTTTACATCTAGCACACACTATGACACTTCAACAGGCTCGAATCAGCCTCATTTCACCCGTGTTCAAAATGTAGGAAGAAATTTACATCCAGTTTTTTTTCGAAGAACTTCACCTTTCAGGAAGATATTTCTGTGTGGATGCCGCCCCCACCTGCAATCTTAACCTCTTCAAGTCAAGGATCTATCGTTATCTATCCTCCATATCCTCATCATCTTCACTTCCTACCATCTATAACATTCATATCGCATACATTATTCATGAGTGCTATTTTATCAGTAATTCTCTGCCTCGAGTGTCTTTTGAGCCTTGTAATGGCTAAATTTTTGTATAAAAAATAAACCAGAAAAAAAGCAGAACCTATAAGAACAAGCTTTGAAAATGTTGCTCAAATAAGTACGCGATGAATTTTTTTTCAAATTCTCTTTTAGAAATATTTTCTTTAATGAATAGAATGGACTTCTTATGTCACCCATTCCAATAGTAAGTTCAATCTTTACTCGCCACCCTTACTCGCCATCTTTACTCACCATCCTTACTCGCTACACCTACTTCAGACGAAGTTTAGTAAAGACTATTAATGCAAGAGCGCTTTATCGTAACACAAAGCGATTTTGTTATCAAGTTTTGTTCTGTGAGAAAATCTAATATCGACTTACAATGTTATCAGTTCTGCTCGAACGATAATAAAAGCCACATTTATTCACTACCCGATGGTAGGAATAATGTAACTGATGATGGAATCTGCATTTGTGTCCGTCCGAAATACAAAATAATTAAATAAATAGCAGGGCATTTCTAACGATAAACAACCGATTTAATCGATATCTTTAATCATGAGATATCGATTATTTATTGTGGAATGAATGATACTCAAATCGACTTTATAATTATTTTAAATGGCTTTTAAGGGTGACAATCCCCCCTTAAAATTGGATTTTATGTGCAAATCGTATTTCAATGTTTCTTTTATTATTAATCATGGCAGTCATTTTGTAAATGAATTAAATAATATGAAATATAATGACACCCAACATGCAGCTATGGATCTACTATGAATTTAATAAAGCATAAGCTTCAGGGACCCTAATCCCAGACGGGTTTCTGAGGTAAATTTTTCTAATCTATCTATCTATATATCAAATTCTATGTCTTCCGTTAGTCCGTCACATCCTCTACAATAGCCATATATTGACCAATCGAAACCAAATTTGAGGGGAGAAGTGTAAACAGGTAAAGGGGTACAAAGTACAATTGGTTTTACTAGGGTGCGTAGCTTAGTATAATAAATTTTCATTCATTTTTTTGTAAAAATCAAAACTTTATTACTTAATATACAATACTTTCACTATTTTAAAAACAATTTAATGATTAAAATAACAAATACCCATTTAATAAAAATGCAATATTGTTTTTGCATGTTTTTCTTTAAGTTTTTCTTAAAAAATATTGTTTACCATGAAGTTTTATAAAAGAAATTATTAAACCGTGAAGGAGGGTTTTTGTCAAAGTATTTTTTCAAACAAATTATCTTATTCAAATTTCATCGATTGATTTGCGAAATTGAACGAAAATTTCGATAAAAATGTTAGCGATAACTTCAATAATACTAAATATTGTGAGAATTTTAAGAGACATCAGCGTGTTGCAAAATATTTCTAGTGAGTAAAATTTTCAACAAAATATTTACGGCCATATCAGGTTAAAACACCGGTTCCCGTACGATCAAGTTAAGCAACGTAGAGCCTGGTCAGTACCGAGATAGGAGACCATTTCGGAATATCAGATGCTGTAGGCTTGGATGTGCGTGTGGTGTAATAGATAAAAGAAATTGTTAATCGGGGAGCCATGTTTGATTTGCAATTGGGTTCATTTATTCCCTTGCGCGCAAATGCGCTTGAGAAACTATGCATTCATCGCTTTTTCCCCAGAAGATTATGGGTTAATTATTAAGATTTGTATCACTAAAATCATTATCTCCCCCCAAATAAAATAAAATTACATTCAAAATATTTAGATTTTGGCATTAAATAACCCATAGAGGTGTTGATATGCCGCTAGACAAAAACAACCAATTAATGAAATCAGTGAGGTTTTTAAGTGTTTGTTATTAAAATGAGGCCAGTTTAGTGATAGAAGCTGATGGCAGACAATGGGTTAAAGTATCTAATATTGGCTTTAGAATATGCTCTACTACCCATTTCAAAAGGCCTCAAAATTCCCCTATAATTGCACAAATTTTTCTTGGGGGCTTGCACCCCCCCTCAAACAAGCCTATGGGCTTATTGATCTTACCAGAATCTATGTATAACCTACATTTTGTCACTTTGATCCTCGAATGTATCGTTGCTGGTTGTGAAGGAGCTCCCGTACCTATTTAAGCTTCAGGGCCCCCAAACTGTAGGTCCGCTGCTGCTATTTATTTACCCAGAGTTTGTGAGGAGAAGTATAAATTCATCCCCTCTCACTAGGTGTAAATTAAATCCATTCTCTCCCAAGCGGAGTTTGTACTAAGGAACATGTGGACATGAAATCTATCTATCTGTGCAAACGAAAGATGAAAGAAATTGCCCCTGCTATAAATTTAGAAATTCTTGATAAAATCCAATGAAGAATCTGCAATGATATTGGTCCTGGCCTGGCATAAAGGTTCCATTCAGTTTCTTGTAACTCCCCTGTCTTTTCTATAAATACTTTCATGCTAATTGTTCGGATGAACTCTTCACTATAAATACTTTCATCTTCATTGATTTCGTGATCTTTGCTCTATTGTATGTAGACTTTATGAATTTAAGCGCAGATTGGTAACACGGTATCATCGTTTTATATTTGAATTAGTTAACTGTAAATGCTGTGCTAACAGTTTCTTTTCTCGCACTTTTCGCTTGTGGAATTCTCTTCAGGCTTCTTGCTTTCCAAACAACTTAGATGCACAAGAGTTTTAATGAATCTTTTAATTCCTTTTCTTTTCTTGTTCTCGCTCCTAAATAATATTTTTCTTTTATTATTATTATTATTATTATTATTATTATTCTTTCACACTCAGTAGCCCCTTGTGGCTTTACTGCATTGTTTAGACTGAAATAATTGACAAAAAAGCAAGTTTCGTTTACCCTTTACTAGAAATTCCCATCTTTCTTTGGGGACTTTCAAAGCCTGGTAACTTTATTTTCGTATCTGTAAATAATTTCTAAGAATTAAATTAATTTTCTTTATAATATAAAATGATTTCGTATTTCTATAAATCCTAATATTTTCGTGGATATTTATGTTTAATTCGTCAACCCTTATTTTCCTTGAAGTTTCTCCTATGGATTTTATGTCATAATGATTACAGGCTATTTCCAGTCACGATAGTGTCGGAAAGCATCCCTGTGTTCTTGTGGGTGATTTTACAACCATTTCGCACAGTCGAAACGTCACAAGCCTTTCGCTGCTGTATCGCTAATTCCATGGAAAGTGTTCAAACGAATTAAATTCCTTAGTTCCGCCAGTTCTCAGCCTCACATCTAAAACCTGCCCATTGAAGCGAATCACATCTTATTTGCTTCCATTTGTGAGATGTAGATTTCACTTTACGTGAACGACTGCTTCATGGAACCGACTCGCAAGAGGATGCCTCCTCGATCACTATAATCAAGTCTTCAAGTCGAGGGTTAAGCGTTATCTTACCTTATATCCCCGTAAAATGTGCTTCTTACTAAGTGACTGTCTACCTCGATTGGGTCTAGAGCCTTGTACAAGGTGAACACCATTGGAAAAATATATATTCAAACACACACACACACACACACACACACACACACACACACACACACACACACACACACACACGCACACATATATATATAAAAAGTGAATATATAGAGGCGACATGTTTCATGCTGGACGCAATCGTCAGGACATTGAAACAGCCAACACTCTGAGTGTTGGCGACAGGTTGTTTATTACATACGCTCTATTTCTGATATTGACCACTTCATTCCATAAATATGGCACACCTAAAAACTATAATATATATATATATATATATATATATATATATATATATATATATATATATATATGGGTTAAAATCTTCTTGAATTTCATCTTAACATCATGAAACTGATTAGATAACTGGAAAGGTTTGTTATAAAAATAAGTAAATATAAATGTCTATATTATTCAATGAAACATGTTTGAATGAAGATTGTTTGAATGCATGTTTTACATTTGGGAAGATAGTGCTTACTATCGGAGATATGGCGGCGCTTGTAGATATAAAAAAAAGATACTAGGTATTTCATGATTTAAGTGATCATCAGGTCACAGTCCGTGGGACTATGTTCTTTTTTTATGATTTTTAAGATATGGAACTGACAATCACGATGCAGTGTTGATTCCTCTGTACACATTATTGACACTGAGATGTTGACTTTTGGGTTATCTCAATGCATGTATGAGCAATCTACATATATACGTGCGCGCGTGAAAGCACCTACTATATTTGTATATACAAGCGGCATATCGACGTATATATATATATATATATATATATATATATATATATATATAGAGAGAGAGAGAGAGAGAGGAGATAGATAGATAGATATACATATTAGGTAAAATATAGTTTTAAGTTATGCTATATTTAAGGGTTAAAGTGCTCAATATCAGGGATAGAGCCTAGATAAGTATAAAGGTGAGCATTGAAGTCAACACTCAGAGGCGACTGTTTCATGCTAAACGCAATCGTCAGGCAATGAGACAGACTGTCGCCTCTGTGTGTTGACTTAATGTACACCTTATATATATATATATATATATATATATATATATATATATGTGTGTGTGTGTGTGTGTGTGTATGTGTGTGTATACTCATATATAATACAAATGTATGTATGCAAATAACATGGATATATGGGGTCGATACTATATATATATATATATACATCTGCTGAAACGTTGTGATGATAACAACAATAAAAGGAACAATAGTCCGTCACATCTAAATAATGGTAATTCCTTATCACAGGAATTCAGGGGAGGTCTTAATGATAATATATTAAAAAGCAAGAATCTCTTAAAAGTTCTCACATTTGCGGTGTGTATTCTACGTAAGAAAAGCAAAACTAACATACGTCTCAATTTAGAGTCAAATTTCTATGAGATCAAAATTTAGGTCTTGTAAAATTTTCGATAACGAATTGGTAAGAATGATGTGCAATGAGCAGCAGCGTGCCAACCATTCATATAAGTCTTCAGTTCTTGAATAATATAATAATGAAGAATATTTGCATTGCACCAATGAATGCGCGGCCGTGTTGATAAGATAGATACCCGAATGAAGGAAATATGCAAAAGCGTGATGCAATTATACGGCTGGAGTTGCATTATGCATGCTCCAACGATTGAATGTTATTGGAAATGTCCGGGAATTTTCTCATTCACTCAATTATTTATCCTTTTCGTGTTGCATTTATGAACAATGGCCAACTTTAAGCCGGGCATATGCAGCAAAAGACTCAAATAATAGAAAGCTCTTTCGGTAAAACGGAGCTCACCGTTCCGCATATTTCGAGGTATCTGCTAAAACACACAATTCTCAGATAAGAAAATTTAATTTTAAATCAGTTTTTTCTGACCTTATCTACCAAATGTTATTTTGAAATGTTTTGTTCCTTTAAGAGGCAGATAATCATATCTTGACTTTGATTTTGTTTCTTTATTATTTGTGAATTGCCAGAACGTCTTGGTTTGGTTAATTTTATTTTAGGGCTTATCAACCTCAGAGATTTTCAAGGACACATGGCACACTAGATAAAGGCGTTAGTTAGATCCAGTGACCGGACCCAAAGAGTGTGAGTTAAATACCTGGTTAAGGCGGTGGAGAACTTCCAGAGGGAAAATTAGCAGGAGATAACTGATAACTGACATCCATTAAAAACATGGCACGTGGAACTAGAACAGTCTACCACAGCGAGTGAAATAAAGGGTTCAGTTCTACATTCCACCCACCTGAAGAAGGGCCGGAGCGTACATCGGCTGAAACGTTGTAATAAACATGGCGACAAAGATGAGGATGATAGTCCGAGCAATGTAAATAGTCAACCTGAGTGGGTTGTTTAATGTCGACAAGATTTTTAGGATAGGTTCATATGAATCAAATATATATTAATATTTTTTTCTAAAATGTTTTACTGGAAATATTTTTTTCCAAAAATCTATTGCTGGTAATTATTTTTAAAAATGTTTTGCTGGTAATAATTTTTTTTTTTCAAAAATGTATTGCTGGTAATTTATTTTTTCAAAAATGTATTACTCGTAATTTATTTTTTCAAAAATGTATTACTGGTATTTTTACTATAAAAATCTGTTTTTAAAACTTCATAATATTTTGAGCCCAGTTAAATATTTGCCCGTAGCATGGACCCTAACAGGTGCTACCACTCTGGGTCAGAGTGGACTTGAGAGCAACAGCAATTAAGCGGTGGTTCCACCCCCCCAAACCTCTCGACATTGCTGTCGGATGTAGTTTATCACCATAACCAGGACGACTCATTGGGGGGGGGGCAGTTACCTCCCTGCAGAGGAGAACTTCTTGGAAAAATAGGGTAATGTTTTTCTTCATCTTCGTCACAGTTTTGCTAACCTTTTGCCGAGACTGTCATCCAAACCCAGTTGAACCCGCTTTTAAACTTAACTGGGAGGAAAAGATAGGTGCTCATATCTTTCCCAAGAGAATCTGTATGAAAGTTAATGCAACCTTCTAGAGATCAATTTGAACCCGGCTCGGTAATTCCACTTTTCG